TTATAGACGAAGCTTGTTGCTGTGTGACACTGGCAACCATGAAAAACTGCAATAACAGCAGTTGGTGACTTTTTTCGTACCTCTCACTAACTACTGATTTTTTGGCTTTCGATTTTTGCGCCTTTGCAAAATGTTTTTCCACACTTATATTGGCTAGATATTTTTGTTAATTAAAACCGAGTAAACTGGCCAATCAAATGGAGTATTAATTTATAAGCAGACCACTGTCTGCCATCTATACCGAACAATGAAATCACCGAATAGCGAAGATTTACTGTGTACATGTCAGATATTCTTGTCTAGCATGTCTAGATGCTGATGCGTTTTAATGGCTTCTATGCTTTTTGCCATCTACTGTTGAATTTAGCTGACATGAAAATTTACATATTTTAAAGAGCTGAAAAATTTTTTCGATTATGTTAAGCGCATGTTATCGCAATACAATATCTTTGATTTTGTCGTCTATGTCGCTATGCCCAGTGTGTTCCCATTTACTAGGATATCTCAGAGATATGCCAACCCTGGATAGGGCATTTTTAATGAACTCAGGGGTGGTATTTTACCATAAAAGAAATATTTCATGGCATAGAAGCTGTGTTCATAATATGTACATATCGCAGCATTTAAAAAGCGATAAGGAGTTTGTAGACGTTTGCATTTTTATGACAGTTGTAGTGTTGTATGGTAATTTACCAAGACCATTCCATTTTCATGAAGTACACTCCTCATGATCATTATTGGTTATTGGTGGTTTAGACCAGTAAAAGTGTTGAGATGTAGTGATAAGGAAATGCGAAGCCCCGAGCACTCAGAAAAAGTAGGACATCTGGTGAAATGAGCTCTTACTGTCACCAAAAGGCCGAGTAAGCATTCAGACGAGCCCACTTCAATGTCGAGCAAGCGGCTTTGAGTTCAAGAGAAATTGTACACTCAAAGGTGATTGGGCCGATACTAAGGTGACAGTTAACATAAATACAAAAGTTGGATGTGCGGAAATATGAATGATAGTGAATAATGAACAATTATAGAAAACCTTGAACGATATTATAAAAAGATACCTAAATCCGTATCGTTTGGTTACTTGCTTCTACGATGGTCCTTTTGGATAACCTCGTTATCTGGAAATGCGTTGCTAACGTAAATCATCAAGTGGCCAGTAATAAGCATGTGTGTTGTTTATGCTAAGTTGCATATTCCTTTACAAATTGGATCTTTAATTCGAAAACTGAAAAATCTTGTTGCAAATGTATCTTAATTAACTTCACATGATAAAATATTTAGGCAAACGTTTTTAACAATGCAATCTGTAATGGAATCTGTAACAAGAATTTTAAATTGCATTTAACCCTATAGGCAGGTTTTTTGGCAAATGGAAAGAAGGTGATATCTTCATTGATGTCTGTTATTTCGTGTGTCCCTTGAACTGTAAAAACTCTTCCAACCAACCAGAATCGGGAATATGAATTGCAGCAGACTTCGATAAAAGAGTTATGTCGAATAGGAATTTTGATTCACATAACGTCAGGACATTTTACGTCTAGTGGACAGGTTGCATACCACTGGTCCTTTTGCAGGTGATTTGTGCAGCTGGCTGTCTAAAGTAAGTGCGTGTCACTTCCGCATATCGATTTTGTGGTGCGTGCGTGAACGCTGGAGCTACGCAATTACGTCTTACGCAGCCTGAGTAGGTTTGCACACACGCGCACCCCTGAGAATGGCGCTCAAAGGTAGCACGCACGAACGTGCTGCACCAAGGTGCGGAGGTGCACGCTGGTGAGACCACGCGAGGCGCAAGTTGGCACGAGCTGCGGCGAGGCGTGAGAGAGCGAGAAAGAGACCAGAATTTTCGTGTTGTAGGTGCGTTTCAATAGCAAGACATGCGCCTTTCCTGCTTCGTCAATTAGAATTACCCTGCTTCACTCACCTCTGTCATTAACTTGATCCCTCCTACTTTCCACCAATCTGGACTATGAAGTTGCATGAAGGCAGACGTTCGGATTATTCCATGTCACCTCCACGAATTCGTGCTTATTGTCTCTGCTGGTAAGTCGCATTTCTTGTCTAAAGATCGAGGTAAAAGTTGTGAAATATTTAACTTATTTTTAAACTGTTAGGTTCCAAATCGACCCAAAACTAAACTATTTATTTGTTTTTTTTTCCGACAAACGCTGTGTGTGCACTTTTGCTGGTCAAATGCGTAGGCTTTTTGACCCAAATATTGTGTAGCAATGAGGTGTGACGCAAACACTCCTGCGGCCTATGAAATCGCACATGCGGTGGTTAAAAGGATTTTAGAAAATTATTGCTTAGTTCTTTTTATTTATTCCCGAAAGTTAAATAAAACCCCATGGAAATACGCAGCGCAAACAAAGAAAACAGTTATTTTTATTCTTCTGGTTCCGCCTGGACATAAATGAATGCATATTTTTGTAAAGGCTGCTTCGCACTTACGATAATACTCGTGACCGAGAATTTCGGACTGTTTTTATTAGATATACTTTACTAATCGCAGCATGATCGCTTTCTTAAAAAAAATACTTCATTTTTTATTGAATTTTGGCTTGTTTTAACGTTGAAATTCAAGTCCACTTGAAATAGCTTTTAAGGTTAATTTAAGCTCCTTTCATTGTACGATATTTTCGAAAAATAAATTCAAAGTTCTAAAACTTAGGACAATATTTAGCTGCGTAATTATTTTGCGTAATAATAGTAGATTCTAATAAAAGGATTTCAAAGATTGTTTTGCAGACTGCTTTTTCCCCCATATATGTTTTGTTCTTGGGAATGCAAGTGAATGTCAAAGGTGTTTCAAGTTGACACAGCAGACACTATGATCTTATTCAAATACAGGGGCCTGATTGATCATTTTTTCGTCGACACTATGAGTCTGCAAATGATTAAAAGAGTTGAGCAAAAATTTCATTTAACTGTTGGCGGTTTTTAGCCTTAGTAGATACTTGATATGTAATCCTAAGTGGAAACGAAACCGAGTTGATTTCGACAGATTGCAGATTAGCAAACTTTGCAATCGCGTTCACGGATATTCACAAACCTTTTCTAACATAAATGTGACAAAGAAGAGACCTAATGTAAATGACTTCAAACCTATTTTAAAATTCATTTCCTTACTGCCAAAAAGAATGCATTATATAGTGTGAAATACAGGGTTTTGTACGTCACCTGTGCAAGCTGGTTACTTGTTGTGCATTAATCATAACGTTAGTCCTTTGATTAGTAGATTTCAATTCGTGGTATATTCATTTGATTCGATTAAATCCTGTCGGTTGACTTTTTGTACGCTCGTGATGCCTAATTACTCGTAGATACTTAAATACTTGTACTTACAGCCTGACTACCATTATTTAATTAAATAGTTTCGAAAGTCGACAGTGACATAAGTTAGACAAGGTTCGTAAATACCATGATTTTTTCAAATGTACGAAAACACTTATTTTGCCTTGCCCATTTTAATGATTGGCCTTATAGTGCGAGTTGAACTTTGAAATATTTTTTCTAAGAGCTTTATTTTTATTTTAATGAATACCACTTGAAAAATCAGACTCAATTTAATTTGAAAGATTATTGGTGCCATATTATGTAATATTCGTTTAGCGTTCTCATAAATAATTGCTGACGGTTAAATGAGGAGCAGCCATGAATAAAAGAAGCAAAAGATCAGTTTTAAGTACAAAAAATAAAGAAATAGGAATGATTTTACTAAAAATTTAGGTTTAGTTTTTGCTCACAATTTAGTAGAAAACCTAGAGGAGTTGTTAGACGGGTAGGTGAATCACTGAAATCCATTGCTTAAGAAATTTCTCTCTTTGAAAAGTAATCCTTAAAACAAATGAAGCAGTTTATGGTAGAATGGCTTGATTATGCAACATGGATCTTGACAGCAAATATCTACCTCGAAATTGGTTACGAAAATGTCAAACATATCAATGTTAATAAAACAAAAAACCACCTTAAACGCGATTTTGGTATTTTTCTGCTACTATGACATTAACCGATCTTATAGGCCGTTAAATCAAGATAGATTAACTAGTTCCTTTTAAATTTTCGTTAGTGTCTGAAGTTTTAAGTGTGGACTTAGGCTGAGAAATAAGCAAAATGATATTGACTACTGCACTCTAACTCACTCAACCAGAGGCTAGGTCAGGTTTAACAAGGCTTTAACTAAGGTAGGCGATAATCTAGTCAAAAAGAATTCCAAGGTAAATAGATGAAAATGGTAATTAGCTGCTTGAGTCATTTCGAATAAGTGCACACCAGCTTATCGTGGGATTCTCACTCTCGTGGAATTTAGACGTCTTACTGAGGGTTTCGCATTTTGATGCGACACGACGTATCCCTCGACACTTGACGCAATCAGGATCGATGGAATGCCATCCCGCGAAGTAGGCTACTATGATACCTAGGATGCAGCTTTCCATTATTCGGTATCATGACATATCATCGGAAATTTGCGATTTTTTTGCGCAGTCGGCTCAAAAAATGTGAAAACGTCTAGTTGGAAATCTGTTTGAATGACAAAATATACTAGAATTTACCACAATCTGTTTGAAGAAATTTTTGAAATAAATATCTTTGGTTGTCTATCAAGCCTTTATCTTGCAACTTGCTGCACTTTTCGCCGACTTTACAAATGCAGCGTTCAAATTTAGTCAGATTTGCATCACTGTATAAAGTGCTTTGAAACCTGATCTCCCAACATATTTTTAAATTGTAGGGAAGTTCAGCTGGTTTAATTAATATGGAACAAGCCATTCTGCTCTTGAACGTTTACCTGGTGCTATCTGGAACTTATAATCGAGAGCTTAATACACCGCGTTATATGGGCAAAAATTCACATTGATCAATTACGAGACACCGTTTGTTTAAAAACCAAGTTTATTGTGAGAAAATGAACCAAGTGCATTGCTTAATCAAACTGGAAGCCATTGACCCTGAGTAAAACATGTGATTAATGGTCACTGAAATCGTATCTTTCTTCCAGAATTTGCAATTTGGAATTCACTCATCCAACCCAAGCGATGGACAACAGTGTGCTAGTGACACCTGCATGTCTAGACGCCACAGTAGACGGTTCACCTTTCCTAACTGCCAGACAGGCCTCCTGTAACAACCTACATCGACTTCGGCAGGACAACCGCAATTCCTTGTCTTTTCACCCCAGTCATCAATTTCCCCTTGCGAGCAATCCGACCACTTATGGGTCAATGCAACAATGTCAACGGTACTACGGATCTAAACTCACTTCTCGGATGTTAGTATTCTTTTGCATTCACCTACTCTTCTGCGTTTTCGCATCTCTGGCGTCAGCAGCGAGTCCCGCCGAAACAATAACCCTATCCAAACCACTAAATCACAAAGGAGAAGAGCACAGTGAAAAAACTGAGCTGAAGATACATCGAAGTCCCCCACAAACGTCTTCCGAGGACGCTATATCAGGTATCGAGTTATCTGGAGATCTCTCTGATTCGTCGGCATCTGGAGACCTAGAGGCGGATTTACCTGAATTAGATGAACTTGACATCGAAATGTCTCTTGACGAAATTGAACTCCAAAGTGGAACTCTTGTTTTAAGCAGTTTTCCGAGGAAATTTAATAACAATGGAGAATTCCTTCACGGTAAGTTAGGTTTTCCATTATGCCCTACTTTTTCAGTGTTTAGTGATGTAACACGTGTTAGCCATGCAATTGATTATGCCATTTTGCTCATAAAAATTAACTAATTATATTTGATACGAGTGTTTTTGAATTACAATGCCTTATTTAGTGCCTGTAGTAAGTTTGCGCATATTTTAACATCTAAGATTTCGGAGATGAAACGACATCTGCCATGGTTGGTTGTGCGCTGCTTAGTTGATAAGTAAAATTGAAATTAGGACTGCAGCTAAATTTGGTGGTTCTAAATGCCAGATATTTTTCTAAAACATTCATGATTTAAGTGAATTATGCTTTCTTTTTTGATTTTTTTACGTTAAATCGTTTTTTTGGAAACTGCGACAACTAACAATCTGACAAAATATCAAATACATTTTACCATGTCATTAATTTCCTTAAATTCATTCCGGGGCCTGAATTTCCATTTTAAATCAATTCCATTTTAAATGGAGTATAGGTTTGTAGCATTTTGGGGTGTTTTGGCAAACCGTGGACATTTTGCAAAATGAGCTCTCGTATTTCAATGATGTGGATAACTTTTACCCTAAAACTCCCATGGCACTTTTGCTTGATATAGCAAAATTCACACGGAACGCGGGCTCCTTTGCATTTTTCTTGATGTTCTGTGTAGAACTATGCGATCACATTTCTGCTAAGTTTATTAAGTTACCAATGCGTTAATTTAACGCTAAACTCTCATATCTCCTAATTACTGGTAATTTTTGTTGTATGACTTTGGTAATTCGCTTGGATGCCTAGTATTGCAAAAGGTGCAATTTTTAGAACACTATTTGGAGGTTTGCATAGATATGCTTGTTGTTAAAAAAAATCTGAAATGTTTTATCACTTACACCTTCAAAACCGTAGAAAGTGTTGCATACAAGGCGTTGCCTCAAACTTTTTTTTAAAGTGCAAATTAACTTAGATGCAAAATCATCCCACTTTGTAATGGAAAAATCAGGCAACGTTATTTTAAGTACCTCTTTAAATGTCCAATTTTTTTTGCTAACGAATGCAAGTGACTCTATTTTTTAATCATATTCGTCAAATTATAAGCCTTTGTTTCCTATTTCCACAACCTGAGAGAGCAGGTGCTTCTGTTAGCCTCCATTGAAATTAGGAATGCCACCTCTTGCATTATCGCTTCCTGTTAAATAGCCACACTTATGGTCGTGTGTTCGTCACCGCTTACTTTGTCCCCATCAGAAGGAATAGTTGAGAGTATATGCATAGCATTTATAACGTCGTTATAAAAATAAAACGGTGAATTCTGGCAACATTTCACATGTTTTTAGCCAACTAAACTATCTATATTTCTACGATATATTTCAAAAACCATCGTTTAATCACGTCGTCTGAAACAAAAATGTGCAAATTATACCAGGTCAATAATTTAGAAATCATACAAACACTATTGGCTGCAGTGGCCAAGTTTGGTTCTGACTCTACACAAAAACACAATTTGCGATGTTGACCCAGAATTCAGCAACTCTATGTCACTTTGGTGTAACAAGCTATCACTTTTATAGGATTTTTTCAAAGTTGCCTGTAAACACACTGTTTACCTATGGGTACAATTGTTTAAAACACGATACACAATTTCTACATTGTGGTCAAGCCTGATTTGAAATGATTACGAATCCTGTTAGAAAAATTGCTCTACATCTGTCAGGCACCATCCAGGGATTTAAGCTTCATCCTAAAGAAATGCTCTTAGTGGAAAGATCGGCTAAATTAGTGTTCCCTGAATATAAAGTAAGATTAGATCTTGGGAATCAAATGTATTGACTCGAAGGCGTTTGAAGTGTCCCACTTTGACATATGCGTTAGTAGACAAACAACAAGATGGACTGAGTAATTGTGCGAAAGACGGTGAATTTCAGTTCTTAAGTTTCTTGGACTCTTTAAACAAGATAAATGTGGCAGTGATATGAAGGTTTCGTGTGAAAAACAGAAAGGTTTTATTTATCGGAATTTAGCTTGGGTTGAAATAAATACATTAAAAAATCAAAACTAAAAACAGTGTTAACTTAGGAGACGACAGTGATCTTACAGAACGGTTGGCTTCAAAATTGCCCGATAAACAGGGTCTGAAGTCCCTCCACGCAAACTTCAGTTCTTTGTTCCAAATATGGCATTGTGATTACATTTTACGGGTATATCACTCTGTATTCTGCGTCAGTGCTGTGACGTGAATTGATTTTGTCGACATCAGTGAATCTTCTTGTAAAAATGTCGATTTGAATGCATAATAAAGCACTTAAAATATTTTTCTATTCTATTTTAAGTGTGTAGATATCGTGCTGGTCTGCTTTAGTGTGTCAAGTAGCAAATATGCCATTATTCCTTGGAAAAGATTTGCTGTAATTCCTCAAAAATTATAGTTTGATATTGCCCACTTTTTTAACAATTGTGAATTAAACTAATTTTGCGTTTCTGTAATCGAAAATTAGGCTAACATTCCAGCACATCCGAATATGTTAGATATCTATGCAACTAATGACTTCCCATGGTATTTACCCTGGCGAAGGCTGCACTACGAGAACTTAACATGTCCTTCAAGGGATATCGTTATTTTGTCAACTACGCAGATACTAAACAAAACCATCTCTGCCCTCAGCATAATTCCTGTTTCATTAAAGTCGGCAAAATTTCAAGAAACGTTTATGTGAAGCCCTCAGCGTCTTGCTTTAAGCAAACTGAATAAAATATTTACTGAGGTTCTCTTTGTTTTCTCATACTTTAGTTCAAGAGCACAGGAGAAATTTTTTTATTGCATTTTACTCAACAATTTTCCCAAAGTCTAATTCAGCAAGAACTTTACTGGACCGAGATTGGATAACAAAAGCAAAATTCAATCTCGCCTTATCTGGAATTTGCAACTACCTCGAAATGCTAAAATTTTATCGGCTCCTATCCTGTAGGTCTTGACAAAGGGCCTCTTTTATAGTTGCCACAAGTCAGCTCGTAGTAAATGTCACTTAGGTAAATATACCCATCTAAACTGTCACATAATATAGTTTACTTTTTGATGAGAACAGGTGCGTTAGGCTGTCCTCTCATGTGAATTAATTCAAAAGAGAACGTGGTTTAATTTTCCCGAGAGAGAGCATGTTTTCTTTATTTTGTAATCAAACGTCTTATAAATCAGCTTACACTTTATAAATTTCACTGATTAATACGGAAACTTTAGCTTTATTCAGGCAATTGGTAAGAAATTTATATACCATGTTTACTGTGTTTTTTCACAAAAAAAGGGCTTTCTTAATTAGTCTGAATGTAGTCCACACTATGCTAGTTTAGGCTATAATCTCTCCCACGTTTGACGCATTTAATCGATTTTTAGCCATGGCAGTTTCTGGAACTGCCCAGTTTTATGCCAGTCGGATGCACATTGACTTTCAAAGAATGCTATACTCAACCTCGGAAAAGTCTCTCTACGCGGTCGCAAAAGAGTGAGTTCTGGTCACTTGAGACAGTTATGCCATGTTGAAACAGGCTCTTTGTTATAATGCTTTCATCTTTCTAGATTGAGCCAGTTGTAATAAGTTTATTTTAAATCTAATCGATACGACGACAATCACAAGTGTTTTCTGAATAAAAAAAATGTTTTTAGATGACATATTTTTTTAGTATTCACGGGTTGTTAAATATAACAAAAAGAGTTTTGCATCAGTCAAATTATTACAAATATTGAATAGCTGTTTCTGTGAAAAAAATTTTTAAGTTTAATTTTGCAGTACTTGATTGTGACTTTTAACGCTTAATTACGTGTGGAGGTATGTGCGCATTTAAACCTAGGTCAAAATACGTTTTACCTTTTTCCATGTGATTCAATAAAGTGAGATTTAGTTTACATATGACGTAAGAGTTTTTCTTTGTGTTCAGAATAATTTGGTACCGGTTAGCCGTTGTACTCGATTCCTCTTCTTGCAAAATATCTTGTCACTACTGTGACAGTCACAGATAGGTATTTTTTGCAATGATGTTCTTATTATGTTGGTCTTTATTTATGTTTGCAAGCAATATTAAAAAGGGTACGCAAATTTGTCTAAATCGAGCATTAGTTTTGTATCCCTCTGGCTAGGAATCCTTAGCTCCAGGTATCGATTTGATGCAGTTGATGGAATAGCGTCCTTACTTAAACACAGGTTGGGAAATGCTGTAGAAAGATGCAGTTTCTTGAAAATCGCCTTAATTGTGAAAAGATCCTATATATTGTTGTCTTCTACTGTCAAACATATTTCATTTAGAGCTACTCTCGTCAAGTTAGATGGCAAGACGTTGTCATTAATTGACTCGCACACTGTGGCTTCTCAACCACAGGCCTCAATCTACTGTCAACAGTCGGTGAGTTCGAACTAGTTCACAGCTTCTGAAAGAACTCACGTGGTTTTTAAGCGATTTACATGAGGCGACCATATTTAACTTGCTGAAGAATTAACCTTTATGAATGCAGATTAACTGGGATATCGTTAAGCCTTGTATGCAAGCACTTTTTTTAAAAAATCTACACAAAATTTTAGGTTTTCGCAGAAATCACTAACAAATTTAGGTTTGCTTTGAATATTAAAAACCACCATGCACCGACATTTATCTGCGGCAAAGGTTATTGCCAGATGTGTGGTTTCACGTGGTTCACCCTTTTCAGGCAGGCTGCAGGCAGAGGAAGGAGATAAACGTGCTTGCAAAGACTCCAGACAAGTCCTTCATTTACTACTGCACTCTCCACTACGAAGATCATCCACGACTGTTGAGCCGACGAGCTCTCACGAGTTGTGTTGTACCAAACGTAAGTCTAAATAGTATCAACTAAAAAACAACGAAAGTACAAGCCCCTTTGTCATGTACGTATGCACTTGGCGACTTTAAACATGTGCTCAAGTGTATGTGGGTTGCTTTAAAAACATGCGTCTCAACCTTTGAAATAGTGACGTCAGTGTAAGATTCTGGATTCTTCAAGGCCATATTTGAGGTGGGGCGTTCGAGGCCTGGCAGAGGCGTGATGAGGTGCCAACGCATCTGCACATGACATCGATTGTTGGCATTACCTGACCCAAGAATATTGCATTTTGTTTAGCCTTGTGTTAAGTGCGCTCCAGTCTAGTATCGATAATGTCACTTTCTTTTATGTGCTTTGTCTTTCTGTCTCTAACCACCCACACTAATGGCTCGCGTCGCGAATGCACGTGTTTTTAGCACTCTCAGTTAATTTTAGACAATACAGAACGTTGACATGTACATTGAACTATCCTCCGCAGCTCAGCGCTTACTAACTTCATCACCACATAAAAACACTTATTAGTTTCATGAAAAATAAACTGGTTCATACCGCGCGTCGTAGCTCAACTTTTTTGACAGGTGCAAAAAGCTTTGCGATTTGCCAAGAAATCAAAATTTTTTCACATATCTTACGCGTGTATTTACGATGCAGGCCACTTTAATTTCTACTACAGTCATTTTCCTCTATTTGTGATGGCTGTTATTAGTAAAAGACTACGAAAGTTGCCTCTGGGGGTTAAGCGTATAAGGGATTATGTAAATTGGTTATGCAAGCTAATCCATCCTATTCCTGGTGATTCACGCATGCCAAAATCACTATGAGGCAGGACCCCACAGTTTTATGGTCCAAAAGTCGGATGTTTGTTGGTAAATTGGTGCATTCAGCAAGCATATAAAATCTGCTCCATACACGATGCATTTGTCGAGCCTACATCCTCAAGGGATTCGGTAGCACAACTAATGATAATTCTGTCATGAAGCCTCATTCTGTTTAAGCTAAAGCACTACTGATCTATTCCCATAAGTCTTGTTCATATTAATTTTCCAAACTACTTAGCATACACCTCTATAGTTTTATTGAGTATATTCAAAAAACTCACATGACAAAGCTATTGAACCGACGTGTATCCTTAAAAAGAAGTACGGAACTGTTTTAAGTGTTCTGACATAGCAACTGCATAAATTAGACTGTATTTTGTAATGGATCTTTTAAGTAGCCCTAAGTATTCCAGCGTGAAGCAAAGTCTAGGTGACATTTTACCAATAGCTTTCCAGAAGATAAATCAAAATGCCAAAAAAGCTGATTTGAAATCACCTTGCAGTTAGACAACAAAACAACTCAGCTGTTTTGATGACAAACAATTCCATAATCTGAAGCAAAATATAATAGCTTTGAAATAGATTACTGTCCAACAGAGTACTGTTCACTTTCATGGTTGCTATCTGAACGGCCTTAGCTTCAATCCCTACCACAAGATCTGACGCGTTATTTCAGTGCACCTTCGTGAGAAACGCTTTAAATTGCAGAGTATGCTCATGGAACATTTAATGTTTGTAAGAAATTGCTAAAGTTGACAACAGTGAGTGTGTTCTTTTGAATAGAGCGTTTTAACTAAGCGATACAATACGCACCGACTTTGTTGGTTAATAAAGATGCGGGATATAAAGCCACGATCTTACGTTTACTCCAAGTCTTTATTATGATTTTTCACCGAATATGTTTGTGTTGCCAGAAAGTGGAGTTCTGTACAACTGCATTTTTTTAATACTTTAAAATTTATTGTTTGATTAATCACACTCAAATAAAATTTGTCAGTAACAGCAAATGAAACTCGCATTGCTCTTCATTGCCGTTAGCCAAGCAAAAATGTGCTTTGAAAAAATCTTTGCATCAATTTTAGTACGCATACAAAACCAAAGACTGTAATGGAGCAAATTAAATTTAACTGACAGCAACCTTGTGTTTTTGAATTTCGAGGTAACCAATCAACGAGTTCATTAAGTTCAGCCAAACTCTAAATCAAAAAAATACTGAAGCTTTGAGGATTGGATAGGCATCAGTTTTAGAAGGGAGATCAATGTCCTGCTAAAAATAGCACAATCACTAATCTATCCGGCTATGTTCACAAAGTCAATGCTCAGACATGACGGCGGGTTAGCAGGAACCTTAGACGTGCACAGTTAATCGTTGCAACACACAAGGGCGATTTGGTGTTTTTGCACTAAAGGACTATATTCAATGGTTAGCTCATTGTTTTTAAAATAATGATGCTGGAAATGTGGGAGCACAAGAGTAATTTCTGTGTATTTCTGCGTGTTTTAACAGCCACATGACCTAGCTGAAAATCTGCTAATGTGGGACAATGTCTACTACACCTCAACAGACCCGCACCGACCACCGGTTATCTTGGCTCCAAAGAAAAAGACTTCACTAAAGTCAGCTGACCGGGCGGCAAACCAGTCCTTTATCTACGTGGCAGGCGTCAACTCCAACTTTCTGCATATCGGCCGTCTTCCAATGCCTGACTGGGCCTCCGGCGATATCAACTGGGAGGGCGCTCTTTTTAGCCCTAAACGAAGTGTCTTCATTCAAGGTATGCGGCACTACTTTAGTTGGAAAATTAAAGGTTGAATTTAGTACTTAGAAAACCTAATCTTTATTTAGTAGTTCCTGTCCTACCAACCCAAGACAATTTTTCCAACAGCCTTTTATTGAAAACCAGTTGTCCATTTGGGGTATCCAATTCTGAGAGAGTAATAAATCCTTGATGAATGGCTACAGAGGTAGTAGTTTGAAGTCTGTCGGTGGTTTTGTCCTCAAGGAGCTTCTTTGCTAAGGCTATTTCCGTGATTTTTAGGATATCGAGTAAGCGCTATGGAAAACATATCTCTAAGACGTCTACTGACACTTTTTTATCTTGAGGTTTAGGAGACTTTTAGGATCTTCCAGTTATCAGCATGCTATTTATATTAAACTGTGAACATGCAAGCTTATTCGATTGTAGTTGCTTCGTGTTCTTACTTCTCCAGAGCCCGCAACAATTGTCATAAGCTTTGAAACAGAAACAGCCGTCTATTTTCTTCTGCGTGAAAAGCCCTCGAGGTATTCTGTACCATCATCTTGCTTCCAGCAACAACGTCAGGTCGTGTCTCGACTGGTTCGCGTGTGCCAAGGGGATCGGGGCGGGCTGCGAGGCATCGCTGAGCACTACTTCGGTACCATGGCAAAAGCCGACCTCGTGTGCCAATCAGAAGTCGTGTCACCACTAGGTGGTGGGAGAAGGAGTCACTTTTCATTCGACCATGCGCAATCGGCATACTGGGACGAAGACGCTAAACGACTCTACGTCACCTTCACAGCCGGGGAGTAAGTTGTTGCCAATTGCCTAAGCTCATTGGATCAATTACAAAATCGTCTATTTTGAGCAAAGTGCGAATTAGACTTTTGGGATATTGTGTTATTTCACGAATGACCCCTATGTGCCGCGGGTAATGCTCCATCTTTCCTTGATGGTTCAATTAAATCCCAGTTTGATTAAATACCAAAATAGTCTCTTCTTCCACACCCTATGTGAAAAATCATAAACACAGCTACGCATAGTGTTCTTTTCAATGCACTTAGCGTTACTGCTGAAAGATTTTGTCACAATGACGGATTGATATACCGATCCGCAAATATATAACATGTTCACACATTGCGTGTGAATTCCTTAACCTCATAGTCGTCGAGAAAGTACTTCAAAACCGTCAACGGTAGTGTTGAAAAAAGAGGCAAAGCACTTGGAGAGCCAATTACTATTTTATCAAGACACTCAGATTATATAATAAATTAATCACTAGTTGCATTTTGCTATTAAAACTGTTTCAATTTGTTTGCTACTTTTGTGTTTTTCCTCTGAGCAGACCTGGACTATTTAGAATAACAAAATTAGCATTATTGTTCACACCGTACATGTTTATCACATAATCACTTCAGCAAACCTTTTATACCTAAACGGACTGCTTCTAATTTTTAAGGTGGAAGGGTGTTTTTTTAAATTCAGGTTGAAAATGATTTGATTATAAGTTTAATTTTCATGATAAAATAATAGAGTAGCAAGTTTCATAGTCCATATTCAAAGTGTATATAGAATGTTTCAGTGGAAGGAGCACCTACGATCATCCTTTTGTTCTAGTGGATAGAAACAGTTCACCCAACTAATAGTGCCACCTCCAATATTTTAAATCAATCATGTTTTTCTCAAAAACTGGGAAATCGGGTTAGTCGTCTGTGAGTTTAAACAGTGAAAACAGAACCAACAGTGTAGGGGTTTTTCTTAGACGTAGTCAATAAAAAATTATAGAAGCTTCATGATTTTGCACATGAAGGCAGTTAGCATGTGATTATTTGGTAGGGCTGCGCCCCGTGGAAGTGCAGTCTGCGTCTACGACCTTCAAAGCATTGAAAGAGTTTTCAAGGGTCCAATAGCCACTTTTGACTCCTACCAACAGAGGACTTTAAAGAATCAAGGAAGCTTACGCTCCAATCCATTCCCAAATATCGTAAGTGTCCAAACAGATATTTTACTGTGAACGCCTCCACAGATTGATTTCGCTGTTTTTGTGTCTTTTTATTATTTAAATTTGTCAAAAAGCAGTAAGTATGGTATTTTTGGTCTAATTTGATAACAATGAGATGAAGAGTAAGACTAGCGCTGTAAATAGAATTTATGCCTTCTTTCATCTCTTCTCTGCCACAGACTGCGAAATAATTTTCATTCCCTTAAAAAAATTCTTGTACTGTTGCCATTTTAGTGTGAGCGATTCATCAACAAAAACCTTACAGATGAGGAGTTGTCATTGGGTCAAATTGGCGCCAACTTCATGTACCGGGCGGAATACATAAGACCTCTTTTCGGTCACGCGGTTGCCATGTCTTCGACCTCTACCTGGACGGCTGTGATTGGCTACCAACTCCTTTTGCTTACCAACTCCTTGTACGTCACTTCAATTCTCTGGCTTGTCTCAGATGATCAGCTTACTCAGATCGCTTTCTACGAAACCCGTGGTAGTGGAGCTGCCTTCAAACCACCGGCTTTGATTAGCACCTGTGTTTTGAGAAGCTTGCGAGTTGGGCCCGAACATGATTTGTTGGGGAGATTTCGAGTCGGAGGGCAGTTTCCAGAAAACCATGCATTCACCGCTCAACATCCTGGTTCGCCTCCGAAGTATCTACCTTTTGACATCGATGATCCTTGGAAAATCGAATTGCCAAGTCCCTCAGAACTTCCCAACACTGAACGGATTAATAGCATTTTAAGAGAGGTAGCCTCTGACATGTCTACTTATCTTCATTTTTTGCAATTCTAATTTTTTTCTCTAATTCTCTAATTAGTAGTGTGCTTAGCGTATTAAGTAAACAATGACGAAATTTCTACTCGCGATGTATCGTAATGGGATAGGCTGCATCCCCAACAGTTCCCCGCAAGTTCTGCAGCTAAAATTGAGTATCGATTTCGTAGAAATTTTCTTAAAATGTGGATTTTGAAGTCCATAATGGTTTCTAAATCAGCCTTATGATTCGGCTCCGATTATAGTACAACAATCCGCTTAATTTTAATTATTATATTCCATTTAAAAACAGAAATGTGTTCAAATTTTTTGACATTTTATTCAAAAAAATAATGTTAATACCTAAGATTGAAAGAAAACTTTAGGGAAAGTGCATAGACTTTTCTCTTCTTAAATTTATTTTCTCAGCTTTATTGGCTTCCACTACGTAGTTTTTGTTTACTGCAAGTTCGTTGCTGACGTTTGGTAATGACATTTCCGCTTCAATATAATTTCCTAAGAAATCACATGCTGCAATAATTTCTGAAGTCTTCATTGAAATTGAATACTATACGTCTTGTTTTCTGAACCACCGTTTCAACCGCTTTGGGAAGGCTGTAATTGTGCACACCGCATTCATAAAGTGAGATTATACATAATTCACTGTGTGTGTTCTTTTACACATTAAAACATTGTAACGACTGCTATAAACATTTGGCTTACCTAAGTAGCACTTAGAGAGCTTGAGAGAAATTGCCATATTTTCATTTGTGTTTGTAGGGGGATTCCATTTTTCTGGGAACAACGCATGCAATTTTTCGATTTCCCACCGATAATTGTGCATCATACACAACAAAAGAAGCTTGTTTGGAATCGAAAGACCCACACTGCGGCTGGAGCTCTCAGATCAACCAGTGCCTTAGCATCCGCGGTTATTCCCAAGCCAGTAACCTTCTGGTTGCCAGCATCAACACTCGGCCACAATGTCCTTCTAGTAACCAATCACGTTCTACGTTTGCCACTAGCCAATCAGGGTGGTCTAAATGGCAGCAATGCAATCTGACAAACACCTTTCAATCAGACGGATTCAGCCGAAACTTAAAAGAAATAGCTTCGGACCAGCAATACTCTTGTTTGTGTCGTATCTGTCTGGGCGAGACGCTTTGCAACTTCGGAGAACAACAGGTCTCCCATTGCAAAGGTATTGAAGTACCACGAATTTGTAATATCTTGTGCTGCATTCATAAATTTTGTCCTACCCACTGGCCTCTGAACTTCGAGGTAAATTTCAGAACTTTAGCAGTCAGTGATTGAACACAATTTAAAAAGATCTAATTTTGTCAGTTATATGCGACTTTCATCGTTTCACTAATTTGTTGTTCCGGTGCGCAAAAAATATGCTGGTCTAGTTTCGAAGTAGTTGTCTATCCGATTCTTTAGACCTTCACCGTTGTCGAATATTATGACGCACATCCGGAATTTAAAAGGGATGCTTCAAAACCTTCCAGCCAAGCTTCAGAAAAGCCACCACGGTGAGTTGTACAGTGCGTGGTCGGGCGTTGCCATGGTGCCGAATGTGTTGCATAATCATGTAGAGATATGTTAATCGAATTGGCAATTCCGCACAAACATTGATAGGTGGATGAAGACTTAATTGTCACACCTCGCGCACTTATTCGTCTCGAGACGATGAAGATTTTATTTGACTCCATTCTTCAGTAGAAGTTTTAATTGAACACCTTTGTTCGGCGTCAATGACAAAGCGATCAGTGACAGTGATCATTGTTTGTGTTCCTGACTATCCTTGTGCCCCATTGGCAAATTTGTCGTAATTATAAAGCCTTGACGATTCTGGCATTCCGTTAGATCCTGCAACTCGATTTCCAGTTGCTACAGGTAGTTTTCTGGTCGGTATATTGTAATGTGGCTTGTCACAAATGGTTTGGTGTCGATTTTTTTTCAGTGCCTCGTAAAATCAATGTTGTATTTGGAGTTACATTCCTCGTTGAGGTCAATGTAGTTTATAATTTAAAATTCAGGCTGCGTGCTTAGGTAAAGGTGTCTCCTGCATGGATTTCGGTGGCTTTTAAATCACTATTATTTTTAAAAATACTGGTAGCGTCTAACCTTCGGATTTTATCGATGCACACTTATGAAACAGACATATGTGTAATTTTTCTTTAAGAATACTTGTTTTACTTGTAAACCAGAACATTTTTTTAAATCCAAGCAATGCAGCGATATAACACAAATGAATACTGATCCAATTCACGCATTTTTGTACAGTTTATCTTACCTCAAAATCTGCTTTCATATCCGATAGCGATAATGAAAGTAAATGTTCAATATTCTATGTTCTAATTTCTTTATTGCCTTCACAATTATTAATGGGGCTTGCTGAAATGTAAAATGCATTAATCCTTGCACACTCCTTTTTATGCTAAGCTTAAAACTCCAAGTTAAGGCAATATTCATTTGTGTGTAGCCCGGTTGGACTTAAATCAAGACGACAGTATAAAGTTCATTTAAACAAAATTTACTCAGGTAAACACTGTCGTTAATAAAGTTAACGCAAAAGCAATGCTTGCATGGATCAGTACCAATGATTTATTTACTTCCATTCAATTCAATTTTAGTGCCTGGTATATGGTCACAATGGTCTGAGTGGTCACCCTGTAAGGACAAACAGAGATATCGGACACGTGTCTGCTTAAAGCCCTTGCTAGCCGCCACCACCACCGTCATAAGCCCGTTCTCAGACTGCCCTGGACCGAGCAGAGAGGAAGAATTCTGCCTAATGCACCCTCTGGTACCTGAGGGTAAGTGGCTTTCGTTCAATCTGTCGACTTTGGTAAGAAGTCTTATCCCGAAGTCTTTTCGGCCATAGTGATTATGAAACTGAAGACGTTTTCTTTTTTACTAAGCGTTTGTACCCCTACGATAAAGTAGAGCAATTTCGTGAGAGCAATTTCAAAGCCATTGCTGTTGTGTACCTTGGACTAGGTGGTCTGAGTTGTCAAGAATTGGGCTAAATTTTATAAACAGCACAGTTTTTTAATTTGTAAGTAATATTAGTATGACGGCGTAGTATTACCAAATCCAATGCTGTAGTTATGCTAATGTGTTCATTGCCATTTTTTTAAATAAAATATTTTGTTTTGATACAAAGGTAGATCATTAGAAAATTATTCTTCATTCGGTGTTTCCTTCCTCATGCAACATGTCTCCTTCAAAAATGTTTTAAAAGTAATAATGTTCGATTAATTTTAAAGTAATTTGTGGCAAATTTGTTGAGATAACATAAAAGAAACTTTGTCACTGAATCTATTCGCAATCTGATTTTATTGTCACCCATTTCACTTCTCAGGACTTCACTAAACAACCCTAATGCTTCCTGTTATTTCTATGGATTTCGGAAACTTCAAGCAGTACAGACTACACCCGATAGAAACGAGTGATTACTTGTCTTTGTCTTTGATAAAACATGGTCACTTCTAAGTATTTCAAAAACAACTTGGCCTTATTTGGCTTTGTGTTGAGATGTCTGCACACTTAAAGGTTTTTATACCTACCTAATCAAAGTACTTTAACCGAGAAATTATATTCGACGAATAGCCAATGAAGCTTAAGCCTATCAGGAATCAACCTGGAAGAGCTAGGAATGTAATTTAAGAAATAATTTCGCACATGAAAATGCTTAGGTGTCGTATACATGGCAACAGATCTTTGCTCTTCTGATATCCATTTATAGCTTTGACGAATCAGCTAGGCTGAACAAATGTTTTGGTATTTTTTGGTGTTCTATCAGCTTTGATTAAATTTGTAACATAGGTGAAATCCAAAACATTAATAATTCACGAGAGATGTAAGATTAATAGTTCTTGCTGAATGTGCACTGCCTGCCGTATCACAAAAGCATTGCGTATATGGTAGAAAAAAGTGGCATGTATAAAAGTCTTACCCAAATTGAAACCCTTAGTCTTGCTTTAAAATTGCTGTATATATTTTGCTCCACCTGCTGCAAAATAAAATTTCAAAGGTCAAGGCCATCACAACATAAATTTCTTCACAGCAAATTATTGGTAAAGAAATGTTCAATCCGATTAAAACAGTCGTCAACACGCAAAATGGTTACATGGAATTTTCACATATAATGTATTTTTCGGCAAATTACCTGTTCACACTATCGCAACAATACAGGTAAATGTTTATTTCCATATTGTAGAAGTTGACTTTAAAGGGCTGCCTATTGAACATGCTGCATTAAGGGAAGAAACTGGGCGCGGTTTTAACATCGATCGAAATTACCTACTTGGAGTGCTTATGGGTTCGTTTGCTGGGATTTTTGCCACCCTGGTGTTCATGTTCCTCTTCCTTCGATTTTGCCATCGACCTTCGCGGTACAGAACAGCAAAGCGTCTTCGTCCATTATGGGTAGGTCCGCATAGCGCCACTCGCAGAGTAAGCAACATTCAGTTAGAAAGGCAAATACGTGACTCACTACTCAGCGACCATCCCATGTACGCAAATCCAAGTCCTATGACCACATCAGTCCAATCTACTAATTTTCCCCGTTATAATTATACCTTACAAACGCCGCCTCCTGTTTCCGTTGAAAGATTCCCTGATTCCTCGCCTTCTGTGGATGAGACTTTCACTACTGCCGGTGTATATGATCGACTCTCTGAAGATAAGTAATTTATCCAAAATTTGACTGTACATCCGTAGCTACTGTATTTGAGGAACAACGAACGAGCAAAAATCGCCAAAGTAATGCAATCAGATAACGCACATCTTTTGACCCTACCAACACCCACACATACATTGGCGATTTATTCTCCTCATTTCCTATCCCCTTTGTCCTTGTTCCATTTGGTTTCCCTGGCTCTGTACAAACATTTATTTTAGATTTCTTTAGCCCAGTAATGTCTGTTTTTATACAAAAACATTCACCATGCACAGAAGCAGATAACCTCATTGTTATCTCTCCCATATCTCTAATACGATTGCCCTACGCATTACCTTAATCAAGTTAAATCCCTTATTCCCTCCCTTTGTATGTATTTAAAAAAAACAGAAGTATGATTGTACAGACAATTAGTAAATTATTATACTAAGATTTTAAAAAAAATTCTCTCAAAAGGAATTGAAGTGTTGCATTGACTGATGGAACTATTGGTTCTTAACTTGAGATAATTAGAAAACACTGGCTGCTGCATCTGATGTTACCTAGATGTTTTCATACCAGATTTTTATTACCAAACACATTAAAGGGCTGATTTAGTGATAAAAAAAGCAACATAAAAATTTTCATGTTATTTATTACCTAATTGCTATAGAAGTGGATAAAACAGTGGTGTAAGCATGCGCTGAATAGCACATGTTTTTCATTATGGCAAAGAAAACTTGAACAATTTTGTTACAACTTTGCTCATATTTGTCGCTTTATTTCGCTTAAAACAACGAAAGAATATAGTTGCAAAGCGCTTAGGCATATATGGCAATTTATGTCAACAGAAAGTTTTCAAATGCATTAAAATCTCTTAGTCCTTCCTTAATTATAACAAATCAGACTAAAATCTAACAAATATTGTCCCCACCCGAAGTTGTATCAAGGATATGCTTAAATCTGGAGAGAAAGAAGTGAATACTATATGCATTGCATTACGTGCTTTACGCTACAGCCTTTTATGTACTTAAGCTGATGTTACTTTGCAAATATTATTTTGTGGTGAGCAGCACGCAAATGAACATGATTCAATTGATTTTCGTGAATGAACTTCACCTAACTATGTTCGTTCACGAATCGATGTTTATCAAGGCTATTTAAACGCGTACTTGTTATCTTGTATACACACACGGCTGCATCAATAAATTAGTTAAGATCCGTTCGCATTTTCTGCTCTTCCGGTCGGGCCGTGTCAGTGTAGATTGTTGGCCCTGGTGTGGTTTCTAAAACCGCACCGGGGCCCACCACAATTAAATAAGTAAATAAATAAATATACATATAATACCAAACATTAAAAGTGCAAAAAGGTGGGACTTTACTTCAAAATTGTATATTTAATAACACAAATTTTATCTGCGAAATGTGTGCATGTCGGTATTAGGCTTGGTTTGAATTTTGATAAGTAGGAAATATGTTCAAGCAGAATTTTAATTGTTAAGGTAGAATACAGTTTAATTTTAAAAAAACGTCGATTTGTGTTATTATTTAAAAATTTGCTGGTTTTTTGGCAAGATCTAGAAGATTTATGAATTAAACTGAGGTTTTTAAATGTTTCAAATCAATACGCTTCCGTGTTTGGCACTATTTTGAAATTACTGCTAAATTTGGCGGATTAAATAGCGTACTCCTACGATTTAATTGGTGGTTTTATTAACTTATTCAAAAAAACCTAAAATAATGCGTCTACATAAAAACACTGTAAGAAAAGTAAGACAACCGCATGTTTATAAAAGAAAGACTAATATATTCTTGTTCCGTAATTAATTTATTTGACTGATCAACCTGCTAATTTATGTTTGGGTTTCCAAGGTTTCCCTAGTCCAGATGTGATTGGCCAGAACTTCAGCCATTTTAGTGATGTCAGTCGACGGTGGTTTTACGTTTTACCATGTACCTTCACGAAATTTCCCGTCACTTGAAAACCAGAATGCTCTAAATTTTCTGATGCAATGGTTTGTAATTGTTTTATTATTTTTAGGTTTTATTATTAAAGTCTCTTAAACTCTATAATTTTGATGTTTTTTTTTCATTCTGCGTTTTGTGTTGCTATAACTACTTTTTGCGTACTTATGTGCCTTCATGTTACCCCTAGTAGCCTCTGCCTTTGTGCTTATTGAAAAAAAATCTTATTTCCTAATGCTGTCTCTAAATGTTGTACTATTTACGTTTGATGGAATGCAGTATTCTGCCAGTCTTGTATCTAAATCCTGACAATTCAGTCAGCAAGGCCTTTTTATGTAGACTTTAAATCGGTCTAAGTGATTTTATCTATAATATTGTACTTTGCCTGATTCATAAACTAAGTAAATCATTAAGTACCATACTTAAAATTGTGGCCTTACTTTAATTGTTAATCGAACAATATGTTTTCTTATCAGTCTATGGATACAATGCATTCGCATTAATAAAAATCCTCCCGTAGATATTGACTGGGGGGCTTGTTGTTACAGAAATTCTATTGCATGTTTTACTTAAAGCATAATTTGTCAGTACGTTGTCCACTTAGCTACAATAAACTTGTCGACAATGTAGTTATGTTCATTTCTGATTTCTGGTAGTTATTCAGACGAGGTAAATCCATACTATGCCATCAATAGCACCTGCTAACTTCATTTCTGATTAAGTCTTTGTGGGCCATCTGTTGCTCTCTCGGTATCAGCGATGGTGAAGATTTTTCGCATCGTCTCGGCTTAGTTACCGATTCCCGCAAATTATTCTTTCTAGTACCCTTTATGTCATAAAATTATGTTTAATATTTGGCTTTAATATTATAAATGGGTAAATCGCAACGTTTGTTTACAGTAGCTAATTCACATTCTGGCTGCCGATCTACTTAGCATAAATCTGTTGATTTGACGATGTATTATATCACTGTGTATTCAGGTCTATGAAAGGCCGTCTTCATTGTCAGTGCTATTCTTTTGACGAAACCTTCAAAACCTATGACTTTCAGAAGTTTGCAACAGTAAGTCACTTTGTTAAATTCTTTTATATTTAGGCATTCTTTAACAGCGACGTCGTCCGTGGAACCTTAGAAACAGACGAAGGCCTTCCATGTAACTACTTTTTTACTACTTTTCTATGTTAAGTAGCTGAAGAATGCGAAGTTGAGGCCATTCATGTGCCGTGTTCCCTCCTTAGCATGGACATATTTAATCGCTGTGTCGGCGTAGTAACCCACCCAACAGGGCGAATCAAATCATGCTTTGAGGAGTACCACAACTCAGTGCTAATTAATGACTGCTTAAAACGCGTACTCGTTCAGTTTGTTTAACCCTTGTCTTTCCTGTAGATGTTATGCATAAATGATTCAGAAGACTACGACCTGTTCAGTGAAGGCGAACGCGCAGAATTCTTATTTAGGTTGTTTAAGCATGTTGTGATCGGTGGTGAACTAGTTCAGCCAAGCGATGACATATCTGTATACACAGACTTTGTCCGAAACTTGTACAGAGATCTAATAAGGTTTGTCACACAACACGAACATTTATCTTCACTAGTGTCCAAAAGGTTGCTGGATCAGACGAGATTAATATCGTTTCGTTAGTTTACGATGTTAAAGTCAAGGTAAGCTTTAGAAGCATACTTAATTTGGTTTCACAGAACAATCACCTCCTTGTTTACCCGGCTGCAAAGGAACATGAAAACACTTTTGCCTACTTAATTGTCAATCCAATCAAGCGACACGTCTTCGCGCTTTCGCATGTGTACGGAATAGGCCAGTTCTAATGATTGCGTTTTTTCTCCCCTTTATACATCCTTTTCCTGTGAAGTTGACATCAATAAACAAGTTGATAATACTCTAATTAGTGTGTCTGAGAGACAGCTAATTCAACAACTGCAGCGAGTACAAGAAATTGGTGTCTTGTAGGGTACATGGGAGCCTGTATTGCTGTTGTGGACGTAGGACTGGTTCTGTTTAACAGAAACCCAAGTAGCGCGATATAGTATAAAAGCAGGAGTAAAGAGGACTTCGGTTTGTAGTTCCAAACAACAAAATTATGGCAATTGAAAGAGGTATTCAAATTATCGAAATTGTTGCATCGGTGCGCAAAGATGCGTGCACTCTATCTTTTGTAAACGTAACTCGGTCATGGAAGTGCAGATCATGTCTTTTATAGAATGACCGCTGGGTCATCAATCTCCATCCCTCAAATTTAATTAAAAATCCGTGTAAATGAGATACGAATTTGCTGACGTTTTACAACGAAATAGGTTTTGCGAACAACAGGCAATGCATCGCTTGTTTACAATTACGATGCTGAATTATACGGTCTTAGCATTTGGACGTTGGTCTCCATTGTTAACATTCACAGATGTCATTCTATAGTTGACGTCAGAGACATATTTTTTTAGACGATTTGCAGATGCAGAGATTCACGACTTCATGTAGGGATTGAAGATAGCGCATCAGCAATCGTTAATCCACTGATCCCAGCACAACTTCACCAGTCTTAGCGACGCGTATCTTAGAGATATATTCTGTGATAAAAATAATTTGGTGTACTTTGTCCGTATCGTCCAACTGGGCCAAATTTTGTGTCTTTTATGCTGCTTATCAGTAATTCAATTTAGAAGAGAGAGGCCATTGACATAATGATTTTACTCACGAGACAGCCAAACGCATTCAATTATGTCAAATGATCCAGCAATAATTTGACACATCTGTATATTTGTACTCGTGTATTTTTCTTAAAAGCCTAAAATCATGCCCAAATTACTCACAAACAATCAATCTTATATAGGAATCTAGATTGTTATGTCTACGCTATTATTTTGACCGTTTGTCTGTTAAAAGACCTAAAAAGTGGAAAGTTGGTGCTTCCAGTGGAAAAAAATTGCCAATTTTGTAAGCTAATTTCAAAACTAGTGGACGGTGTTTGAGAATCTGGTGAAGAAGGGGCCTGATTTTTTAATTAGCCTATTCGAGGTTTAAAATTTGAACTTGCGTTCACCTCAAGTCACCTCCACGTACCCTGCATAAAATTACAAAATAAGAAGCACTTACGTCATCACATTAAAGCTGAAACTGTAAAAAAATAGATTAGAAAGCTAGGATGTTCAAGAATGAATATTCAGACCTTTGACGGTTAATTTGGCTGACTTTGAACTACTGCTTTATAAAAATGGACAGGCGAGTTTTAACATTTCAATGCATAACTTGAATGTCAAGTAGAATGTGCTTGTTAGAATTCAGCTAACTGTTAAAGCCCCTATGCATGTAGAAGGCAGCAGTTAGCCGTGTGTTCCAATTGTAATATTGGATGGCTGCAACTATTTCAAACCATTCAATCTGCAAGCCTCTAATCATTCACATACCTCCTGAGTCATGATTTCCATTTTTCATCAACTTTATTTAATTGGAGTTTATCCTCAAAGTAGTTCCCACGGGTCCTTAGCCTGAGATGTGGCTTATTTCCCAAAAGGCATTAAAATGGCCAAAATTATCGAGAATGCAGCAAAGCCAAAGGCGTTGTAAAGGAAGATGGTGGCTTGCGTCAGTGTCAATTCTGTGATTTTGCCAATTTGCTGCCTTCCTTCATCACTCTCATAGCTTGCGGAATAGCAGTCGTATATGCAATTTGTGTCCTCTAACATTTTGTTTAGTTTGCGGTTAATAAACTGCGACCAAAAGTTTGTTCCACACCATTTGACAGGGAAATTTGTTAATTTACATGAAATAATAGGTTTACTTAACACTACTTTTATATGTTAGTAAGCAATGCTTCTCAGGTGCAGCTGCGAGTGTTTTATTAGTACCCGGGTGCGTATTTGGATCGACCACTCTGTTAAGTGCAAACAAATCTCAGATCTAAAATGAATGGAGGACTATCATTTATATAAACCTATGTACCCCCTGCTACACGATAGTACAGTCGTGCGTGCGAAGAGTATGAAGAACCATATTTTAATGACGACCGCAGAACTAAGATGTGAAAAATAACGAAAATATGCAGGTTGAGTTATCAATCAAAACAAATTCAAACATCTAAATATTAGGCAGGTATTCAAAAGGAAGGATAATGTGTTGAGTTCCTTATTCAGAAGTGTATTGTTATTGTTGTAAGTGAATAGAGGATTTGGAGCAAGATCTCATGTGTAGTTTCTAAAGATTACCAAAACAAGTATGTGACACCCGATGTCGAGAAGATGGACTAATTCGATTTTGAATATTAGGCGGTGGAAATTGTTGTAGCATGATACAACGCGAAATATGTAAAGAAGAAAAGGGAGATGGGTGCTTAGTTGATGTCCCAGGCAAGTATTACGACTGGGCGACTGCACACAAATATTCTGTTTGTAAAATGGGCGTTCTTACCCAAAGCAACCTAAAAGATCCTGTAAAACTACCAATAGCTGAATTAACGCACGAGTGTAACAAGTAGCGCGCTTGATGTACCTGCACATGTGCATGAGGCGACGATTTCTTCAACAGCTAGCTGTCATAGCTAGGTCGGAGACACTTTGGAGGAACAAAGTAACGGTGAAGATAGCCAGGCGTTGGGACGCTTGCGCCTTGTCCACGAAATGGCGAATAAGCCAATCATCAATCTTGTTGACTTTATTAATGTTGAATAAGGAATCCGTCGTCCGACACTGCGTAGCCTATAAACTGCTTATGCTTCTGTAAAAAGCAGTAGTTTTGGATGGATGATTTATTCAGCTTGACGGTGCCCACAGATGAAGTCTGCAAGGTTGTCTGGCATATTTAATTCAAATCAAACGAGGAAACTAACGTTATTTAAACGGATCTGTCATTTACCAAAGAAGTAGTATTTTCTTCATGAGGTATTAATAGGTAGCTGCAGTGCTGGCTAGGCTTGCTCGCAAAAGGCCAATATTTACAGCTGGAAGTCAAAGGAAGCGTAATTCAATAATTGTCTATCAGGTTATTTTGGACTAGTTAAAGTTGCAGAAGAGATCAATCATGAAGAAACTTTTGCTTAAAAAAGCGTAGGGAAAATCGTCTACTCTCCAAAAGGAGTCACGGATTTTAAAGATTTTGCGCTTTAGGAGTAGGGGCGAATGAGCAATAACAGTTTTGATGTTATGTTGGATGACATTCATCACTCAGAAACTCCTGACTTGTCCAGGACAAAACACCCGTGCTCCAGCAGCTGCTCAGGCTGTCGCGACCATCATGGGAGAAAATGTATAATAGAATATCAAAAACCGATGCGAGTTGAGGAGTGAAAAGGAATAAACGTTGCGCTTGAATTGCTTTTAACTGGACCCTAGCTTTGACTCAATCCATAATTTATAGTATTAACGCTAGAGCCTGCGAAAAGTTTTTACAAGGAATTCAGCGATGCACAGAAACCGGGTTCAACTTACATAGACCGCCACTACCTGTAACGATAACAGAGAATAACTTCTAAGATTCAAAATGTTCTTGTATCACAAAGGGGCATGCAGTTAAGTTAAAGATGAAAACAGTTGGTACAAAGAGTTCGACTATGCCAACAAACCGGGTTCTTTTTAAATAGAATAAATTCTGGGATTCAAAATGCACTTTTACCACGAGTTGAATGAAGTTTGGGTTAAAGATAAAAACAATTTAATTCAAGGCCCTAACTTTAGTGCCGCTGTGTTACCACAATCTAACTGCCTCTCCAAACAACTTACAGTAGCTGCATTTTTGATAGATTAGCGGTGTAGATGGACAGAAGTCGTCGGGTATTCAAAATAGAATATGTCAGTATGCTTTCTGTAGCTGTGCGATGTCGTGAAGGAGATTCGGTGGCATTTTTTTCAATTATTAGGTGAAGTGGTGATTGACTATGCTGGACTGGCATGGATATGGTAGGTTTGTGTTTGGTCGTAGCAGATAGGTAAGAGCTATGGAGACGTGATTTAGAATCGATGTAGTCTTATAACGACTAAGATTGTTTGTAGAGCATCTAGTGGCTACTGGTCAGGCTGGCAATGTTCAATACAAAGTCGATGAATAGGCTGCTAAGGTAATGTCACTGCTATCCACAGAGATCTTGCTTAAAGTAACGATTTCAAACATCAATTTAAAAAGAACAATAAAGTGGTAGATAGCATTCAATTCGTGGCCTGTAATATGGGCAAATTTGGATCTCAGGTTGCTGGCGTCAACTTACAAATGGCTGATTTGATAAAGTTAGTCCAAATTGACGAGGCTTATTTTGCCTTAAGACTGCAATGTAGTGAGAGGCATAGAAGTGCAATATGGTGTGCGTCTATTCATTCAATAGATGAAATTTCATTTTTTGCTTTTAGTTATGTTAAAATAATCTGAGCAAATGCATAGTTGAGATAATAAGAATCAATTCATGAGATTCAAAGATGTCATCAGTGAGTGAAAATATAGTTCAGGTCATGAAACTTCTGTCAACGATTTTACAACTCATAAAATAAGTTTGCATTTGACCACTGCGGGTTTAATCGAACTGACGGTATGTCCATTTTGTTAACACTTGTTACACATCTGTAATTTTATCAGGCATTACGCCCAATTTGCTACCGTGACACTGGTAAATAACTAAACAGGTTGGAAGTAAAATTTACTTGGAACTAACTGGTCAAATGTTTTAAAATGCTCACTTATACTTTATATCTTTTTAACTATAGATTTAGGGAGTCTAGAACGAGTCAGCGAAGTTTGCTATGAGAAGGCGAAGTGGTGACAAATTTTTACCAGATCACGAGGGTGTCTCAGGCAGTCGACGTAGACGGACAAATCCACCAGTCACATCCAGTTC